GTCGAAGTGTGGAAAGACTGGCAAGACTCGGAAAATTGGCATGTCTGACAAGAAGACTCGGGACTCTTAGAAAGGCAATTGGAATTGAGCAGAAGAACTGTGTGCTGAGTGAGTGTGCTTCTCTCTACCTAATAATATTCCTGGTCTCTCGGGCCTCCAACTGCCTACCTACTAGTTACCACCTCCCTTCCCCTCTCAATCACCGTTCCCTCTCTCTCTCTCTCGCTCTCCCTTCAATAGCACACCAAGCACCTCCTGCGAAGACATTGGAAAGGCAACTCCCACCATCATTTCCATCATTATCATAATCACCCCACCACCACCACCACAACAACAACAACGTCAACATCATCTTCTTCGATCCCGTCACTTCAAATTCTTCCCTACCTTAATGTTAATCACAAGCTATTCCTGCACACCACCCGTCCTTCCACAATAAGACTTTCTCCCCCTCTCGCCTGCATCATTGATCAAGCCATCGTGCGCCCCTCCCTTCTTCCTCCACTCGCCTCTTCGCCTCCTTCCCCGTCATCGCGTGCTGGGCTTAAGCTGTCGTGGGTTTCCCTCATCCTGCCTTCAATGTTATTAATATTATCCCTACCAATCGGTTACTGCTCGCTTTTCCCGGGGTCGCCACTGACTGATTGGAGTCGCTAATTAATTCGTCTCTAGTACAATATCAGCCCCACGTGAAGGAACGGGATACCCTCCCCCCGTTTCCCATCCCCCCTCCCCCCCTCCTCCCTTGTGTGTCAGCACTTGCTCTACTTTCTACCAGGGCTTTGTGGCGTTTGAGGCTTGCTCATCTCGGGGCAAGACTTTGCTGCAATTATTGTGCGCAGGACACCGCTATCACCCGCTGTCAGGGTCCGATCTGTGCATCATCGGTCCATCGTCATACTTGTCTCGCTTGTGAGAAACGGTCCCATCTCGCACACCCGAATACACCACTCACTGATGTAAGCTTGTGAATATCTCTCATCAATGCGCTGAGAATCTCCGTGGCAAGATCCTACACCAACCCACGGCCATCCTCTCTTCAGAATCCCGACGATGGTCGCAAACATGGATCCCTCCTCCGTCTCCAGGCAGCATGTCGACGACGATCCGCGGACGGATTTAGCGGTTGACACCCACGAGGCCTCATCGGGTTCGAGCCCAGAGAATCCCGATCTAAGTCGTGATACGAGCGTCGGCGGATCAGATAGAGTCTACCCCATCCGATCGATCGTGTCCGTCAACCCTTCTCCGACCAGTCCGTCTCAAGTCATTGCAACGACCAGCTCCACGCAGTCCCGAAGCGGAGCTCGATCCTACTCGATCATCGATTCCGACACGTGGGATCAACTTCGCACACAACCCGTCCTTACTCCACCAAGCGATGCTGCTGCCAGTGGTAGCGAACCTCAATACACCCCCGCAACCTCCGACTACGCCTCCCAACAACCATCCGAAGGCCATTCACGTAATTCCGACGCTGGCATACGGGTGCCTGTCGATTCTAACGGGACACTGCTGCCGGTGGACAAGAATAAGACGCACGTCACCTCTCGCTTCCAGCATGTCGTGACTGCTGGCGGACACGCCGTGATCACTGGCAACACGCCCGATACGTTCATGGCTTGCGAAGACGAACCCATCCACATTCCGGGGGCAGTGCAAAGCTTCGGGGTATTGCTCGCCATGCGAGAAGACGAAGATGGCATACTATCAGTTCGGGTCGCAAGCGAAAATTCGGAGGCCATCTTAGACCACACCCCGAGCAGTCTGTTCGCCCTTGAGAGCTTCTGTGACCTGTTGTCGGAGGATCAGGCCGACATCCTTCTTGATCATGTCGACTTTGTTCGCGATGAAGGTCATGATCCCAGTGCGGACGGGCCGGAGGTGTTCATATTGTCGGTCAACGATCGAAGTGGACGCCCCCGGCGATTTTGGTGCGCCATTCATGTGATCCCTACTCAACGAGAGATCATCATTTGCGAGTTTGAGCTGGAGGATGACCGGCTCAACCCTCTCAACATGGGCGGTCGCACGACGCCCCTGGCCCAATCCGACACTCTCGGGTTTGACCCCACCCCCGAACAACTGGCGAGCAGCACCGTCAATATTAGCCAACCACTACGAGTCCTACGAAATGCCCGCAGGAGACGCGGTGAAGCCGCCGCCATGGAGGTGTTCAGCATCGTCAGTCAAATCCAGGATCAATTAGGAGATGCTAAAACTCTCGATACACTCCTCAACATTACGGTGGGTCTGGTGAAAGAGTTGACCGGGTTCCATCGTGTGATGATTTATCAATTCGATAGCGAATATAACGGTACCGTCGTGGCGGAATTGGTTGACCCGCGGACCACCAAAGATCTCTATAAAGGGCTGCATTTCCCCGCTGCGGATATTCCCAGACAAGCTCGAGATCTGTATCGCATAAATAAAGTTCGATTACTTTACGATCGGGACCAACTAACTTCGCGGCTCGTCTGCCGCAGTTCAGAGGATCTAGAAACGCCTCTAGATCTGACCCACGCCCATCTACGAGCAATGTCGCCCATTCACATCCGTTACCTTGCTAACATGGGCGTTCGGTCGTCCATGTCCATCAGTATCAACAGCCCCAATGACCTGTGGGGTTTGATCTCATGTCATACCCACGGCGACGCGGCTATGAGGGTGCCTTTTCCAATTCGCAAAATGTGTCGACTGATCGGGGACACCCTTTCGCGCAACATTGAGCGTCTATCTTACACTTCACGGTTGCAAGCTCGCAAGCTGATCAACACCATTCCGACCGATGCAAATCCCTCGGGTTATATCATCGCCTCGTCAGATGATATGCTCAAGTTATTTGATGCGGATTATGGGGCTATTTCGATCCGCGGCGAAACCAAAATCTTGGGCAAGTCAACCGAATCTCATGAAATGTTGGCTTTGCTAGAGTTCTTGAAGATGCGTCAGCTTCATTCGGTGGTTGCATCGCATCATGTAACGAAAGATTTTCCCGATTTGCACTACCCTCCAGGCTTCAAGCATATCTCGGGTATGCTCTATGTGCCGCTTTCTTCCGATGGCAAGGACTTCATTGTCTTTTTCCGCAAGGGCCAGCTGACGCAGATTAAATGGGGCGGCAATCCTCATGAGAAGGAATTCAAAGATGGCCATTTGGAGCCCCGAAAGAGTTTTCAGGTCTGGAGCGAAACAGTGATCGACCAGTCTCGTGAATGGTCCGAGTCGGAAGTTGAAACTGCCGCTGTTCTTTGCCTTGTATATGGTAAATTTATCAAGGTCTGGCGACAGCAAGAAGCCGCTCTCGAGGGATCGCAGCTGACGAAGCTACTGCTGGCTAACTCCGCCCATGAGGTCCGGACCCCGTTGAACGCCATCATTAACTACCTAGAGATCGCCCTAGAAGGCGTTCTGGATACCGAGACTCGCGACAATCTCACCAAGTCATATTCTGCCTCCAAATCTCTCATTTACGTCATCAACGATCTCTTGGACCTCACCAACACCGAAAAGGGCCAGAATCTCATTAAAGACGAGGCTTTCGATCTACCTCAGATCTTTAAGGAGGCAACTGCGATGTTTGAAGGGGAGGCTAAACGCAAGGGCGTCAAATACACTGTGATCACTCATCCAGGCATTCCTCGGACGGTCCTAGGCGACGAACGCCGCGTGCGACAAGCCATCAGTAACCTCATTTCTAATGCCGTTCAATACACGACCGAGGGCGAAGTCACCGTCGAATTCTGGCGCGCTCCTGTCACCCCAGAGCCCGGCGTCGTCACCATCCAGATGACAGTACTTGATACGGGATGCGGGATGTCTGACACGATGCTCGAAACCTTATTCCAAGAGCTTGAACAGGTTTCCTATAACGACGACGACACTTACTTCTTCGATCGCGATCCCAACAACCCAACCGAGGCGAACGCAGGAGAAGGAGAAAAGGGAGTCCTGGGCTTGGGTCTGGCGTTGGTGTCGCGAATCGTCCGCAACACTCACGGTCAGCTCAGTGTCCGGTCGGAGCAAGGCAAAGGAAGCCGTTTTCAGATCTCACTCCAATTCGTGACCGCAAGCGATGAACAGCCGGAGTTGGAACCGACTGACATTCCGGCTCATACTGATAGCCCGACGCCCTTTCAGGCGAAGGAAGAGTTTGTGCTTGTGGATAACAGCTCAACTACTCCTCACGAGGGCCGACGACGTAGCGGCGACATCTCACGAGCTGGTAGTGCTGAGAAAATACATCCCAATCAAATTCCGATCGACAGCCTCAAAGATAAGCTTGCTGGCGTATCTATCCGAGAACTGTCCAGACTCGCCCAAACCGGGTCAGCAGATGACGTCGCAGACTCCTCACAACCTGATACAAAGGTGCCCGCATCTCCTATCACGCAACCATCGAAGGGTCAAACGATCCTTCAGGATTCCGAGCCTAAGACTCTTTCCGGCGTCTACAGCATCCTCGTGGCGGAAGACGATCCTATCAACAGCAAGATCATCCAGAAAAGACTCGACAAGGCCGGCCACGCTGTTCACTTGACTGTCAACGGCGAGGAATGTGCGGCGGCATTCCGTGCCGATCCTGCGCGCTATGACCTTGTGTTGATGGACATACAGGTAAGCGATGATCCATCCCCCATCGAACGATATGCACCATACTGACTTTCTTGCCTTTTTCCAATCAGATGCCTATCGTCGACGGTCTGAACTCAACCAAGATGATTCGCCAGCTCGAGAAGGAGCCGAACTGCTCCCTCTCCCCGATCGCAGAAGCCAACAACCGGGTGCCTATATTTGCAGTGTCCGCCTCACTCCTCGAAAAAGACATGCCCTTATATGTTGGTGCAGGCTTTGATGGATGGGTGATGAAGCCCATCAACTTCAACCGTCTCAATGTGCTTCTCAGTGGATTGGAAGACCAGCAAGCCCGCAGCAATGCTACCTACCGGCCTGGAGATTGGGAGAACGGGGGCTGGTTTTAGATTGTCTCCAGCGCTTACCGCTCGCTTACCCACCGACTTTATTCACCTCCAACTCCCTTCCTCGAACTCCTGCCGACTCTTCTATCTCCGATCATATAATCCCGAAAACCCTCCCATCTCCCTGCCCGTTTATCCTTCCATATGACGAGGAACGAAAATTCTATGACCGGTTACGATGCCTTTTGTCCAGAAGCATGTGATCTTCGTATCTTTTTGTTTTATCTCTGTTGGGATCCCATTATCAAAGTCATAATGATGAAAAATTCGTTGCATTTACACCTGGATTCATTCCATCGAGATTCCTTTTTTTTTTCTGTGTTTTCTTGCCTATTGGGACCGCTGTCACTCAAACCATATATTTTCTCCATGTATACCCCACTAGTTTGGACTGGGCCTTATCATTTCTTGTTACCATCAATGGCCAGGGCTTGTTTCTTGTTTCTGGTTCTCGACTACATGTTTTCCGTTCGATTAACTACTACAGCTTTGCGCAACTCAAAATACACCACAACCTTCTACTCCTTTGTGTCTTGTGTGGGACTGTGTATGTGTACGTTTACTAGGATTCTCTTTTTGGAATTACGGGTTGTTTCTGAAGTCTGTTGGTGCAGATACGATGGGCATGATTGGATTGGAGTTTTGGCTGGATGCCATTGGCCTCTGCGAGGCAGAATGTGATTCACTTCCCATGATCTTATACTATAGTCAAGTCACCGCCGGTTGTTTAAACCCCTCCTCTTCCTCGTATCCTGTTCGGCCTCGATGGATCTATACCATCACGCTCAATGTCAAATCTCCCCCTTTTCACGCGACCTTGTGTAGGACCTCTGTATCCATGATGTAGCAGCGCCCCTCTTTCCCCCCCCCCCCCCCCCCCCGTCCAGATATGTACATGTACACATGCATGCCTCGAATCCCCAGGCGGTTCCTGTACTGTACTGTACTGTACTGTACTGCACTGTACCTAGAGAAATTCCCACAACAGTGTGATACAAGAACATGCCAACCACAAAGGTCCTTTCCTTCTCTAGCTTCTTCCCTTTCCGTTTCTTCCAGTGTGTCTTTCTCTACCCGTTCACCTGTTCCTTCCGAGAAATACAGACGAAGAGACGAAGAAGACGAGGTAAATGTGGATAGAGCTAGAGCATACCTAGAGCAGGCCGCCTCCCATGCGCGCGATCAAGGGAGATGCGAGGTATCTATCGCCGTCTACCTTGTTTGTTTTGCTTTCTTTTTTTTTTGTGTTTGTTCCATCAGGATAGGGTTCTGGGTTCTCGGACCCTCGATGCATCCCTCCCCCTCCCTCTTGAGGTTGCGGGCCTTCCTCGCTGAGATAGGACGATATGCTTCACCTTCTTCTTTTCCCGGGGCTTTCTGCATTGACGGATGGATTGGTGAGTTGCTGGATCTCTGAGAGGGTTGGAGCTGGGTAATCGGCCATTTGAAGATGCGGGGGAGGGTTGTTGGACTTAGGGGGAAGGGGGGAGGAAGGAAGGAAGGAAGGAAGGAAGAATTAATGAGGCGGATGAGGTGAGTGGGATTGCTAGTGGGCGAGGCTGGGGATGCTGAATGGCTTAGTTGGGTGGATTAGCTTGCTCGTGTTCTTGATATATCAGGAATGTGTAAGTGGAAGGTGAATGCAAATGGGCCAAGGTGGGATGAATGATAATATCTTGGGTGGGTATATAGCTCTTGCATATGCTCTATCAAATATACGGGGACATCTACTAGCATACAGGGAAACAGGCTGATAATCTCGTTCTTGGCTACCTGATACATGACAAGAGGCCATCCCTCCAAGGTAAATTATAGTCATCACTGAAGAAGAAAAAGCAGGTCTGCAGACCAGTGCGACACGAAAGAATTTTGTATTACAAATTCCGGTGAAACGAGGAAGAGCGTCACGACATCAACGCCAACCAACACCGACGGCTTCTCATACTGCGTTGCTCCATGTTCGCGGGGTGAAATGCTGCTGAGCGCTGAGCGTGGGCTCGAGGGCTTCGAGGTCTTGTCGGCCGTGGACGAGAGGGTCGGTCGACAGCGTGCGGGATGTGGTCGCCATCGAGTCGCCCGTCCTGGGTGACGAGGGCGTCTCCGGGGTCTTATTCGGGTTGACTGTCACTTCTTGGTGGGTCTGGGTCGTCTCCTGCGAGCTTGGCTGTTGGCCGGACTGCGCGCCGGTGCTGCGCGCAGACCCCTCGTTGAATTGCAGGTCGTCGACCTCGGGGGAGTTGTTGAAGCGGAGAGAGCTGCCCTCAGTTGCCTGGTGATGGCAGACGCCCGGAGCGCTTTGAATCAGGCGGATCAATTTCCCCAGGCTGAAGAACTCCAGCTTCAGTTTGAGGACCGAGAAGAAAGCTGTCAGCGCAGAAATAATGTAGAGCTGGCCGCAGAGGACGACGACCACGATGATGATGTCGGTAACAACCATCATGGTGGTCGCGACGATCAGATAGAAGACCATCTTGCGCCCTTCACGGCCCTTGATCATGATCAGGGGCTTGAGGTTGCGGGCTGTCGCCCAGACGAAGACGCCGCCCACGATCATCTCGCGTACGCAGGTGGCTGTCACGGACAGCTTCTCGAAGATTTTGTAAAGTTTCCTGACATGTTCACCATCGGGAGAGGCGGAGATAGTGACGATGATGGCCTGTGGGAGTAGAAATACCACCGAACTAATGACGATCATCCAAAATAGCCATCGGATCTTGCGGCCACTGGTGACGAGGTGAAGCCGCGAGTAGATGACCAGGGTGTTGCCAACATTGAGGGTGGGATAGCAAATCACAATGACGAAGACCAGCCCAAAGCGTGCTTGGGGTACAGCGAACCACAGAAGGGTAATGACAACGGTGAAGATGAGGGTGGCCAGCGTCGATAAGAGCAGGCTCCAGAAGTATAACCCCCGGCGACGTTTGAAGAAGTCAAATATCAGAAGCAGGAGCTCAATCGAGCCAAACGCGGCAACCGCCAGGAAACATGCAAGCAAGAAGGTCTTTGGAAGAGATACAGTGCGAATCAGTTGAATCGTGCCCGCCATATTTGTCTCGGTTAATGTTTGGTATAATGTGCAATCATGCCCTCTGATATCAAGAAGAGGTTCATCAGGGAATAGTGCGGAATGAATAGGTATGTGGATATTATAGTCGAATCCGAGGCTCCGAGGCATTGGGGCATTGGGGCCTCATAGATTCCAAACAAAGGAGTCTCAAAACAACAGAGAATCTGGCTCGATGCCCAGGCGCTACCGCGCATGATGGGTGTGCTGAGCTAATAGAATCCTCATCGAGTCGCGTCAAGAGTAACCGATAAATCCGGCACTTTGAACTGCGGGTTGATCTCTTCCATACCGTGGTTCTCATGCTTTCGACAAGGGTAGCTGTCAAGCTTGTCCGTAGCGATGGCTGAAGGCTTGCTTTATCCCAAGTATGGTAGCTTCGATTTTCTACCCAGCAAATGCAGGCTGTGCATTTCCGACCGTCGAACATCGACCACTTAGATGCCAGGATGCTATCGGTAGGAAAGTTACGCATCTGCTCGTTGTGGATGTCACCATTTCGATGTATTGCGGGGAGGGCCGAAGGTGATTTCGCGTAACCTGATAGTTCCCAGCGTGGCGAAACATTCAGCAGACGGTAGGTCGGGCCTTGGTCGTATCTACCTAATCAATTGCTGCCGATACTGGCAAGCTGAAATCAGAGCGAAGAGCTCCCCTTGCATGCTCCGTCACGCTCTACTGCATTGCTCCGAATTGGCCAAAGCTTATTGTCGTCCCATACCGTGGTTGACGGCGGCAGTCTCGCGAGTCTGGAACCGCCTATGTGGTCGTGCTTTCGACGCGCCAGACTTCAGACAAAGAAACCGCGAGAGGCATATGCCACAGAGCTAATGTGGGCGGCGACTTGATGGCATTCCCGACGATGTCTGGGTCTACGGTGGTCGCCCTTCCTCGCCCGATCCCTGCGCAGACCCCTGCTGATCAATGCCAAATTGGCTAGCAGGCTTTCAGGGTTGAATGCGGCTAGCTCTGCTGTCAACCAGGGACTCGATCCTCGATCTCCAGGGTTGAGCTCGCTGGCTATTGTTTGTAGCAGGCAATGCAAAATACTGCCTGTCGCATTACATCCTCTGAACTCTTTGTAATTGGGTAGGCCTCCCTATGAGAAGAGGGTAGCGTCAACTCCACTAGTCCAAGCATGCAGGAGGTGATTTCCGGCAGGCTGTTGTGAGTGGCCAGGCAGACGCAAGAGGCTGCAGCTTGTTATGCATACGGAGTGCCCTGGGCCTCAACCGCGGGGTGGGATCTCGTAGAATCAACAAGCTGGGGCAATCTTCTAGATGAGAAATGGTAGGAGGAAGCACTTTTCCTGTACTCAGCAAAATCTCATAGAAACGCTGCCAGTTGATGTCTGTCTGCCAAAGCCAGACCCACGGGGTATCTAGTATCTAGGCAGCCGACGGAGGTCCAGATGCTCATGCTTGTGACACGATGACGAAGCAACGTCCGCTGAGTTTATATTTGAAATGGTTATCACCAGTAGCAGGCGCAGGCGCAAATGGGAGTGTGGTCATTAATAGAAGCATGGAACAAAGAACGAAGACCGACTCAAGGGGGAGGGGCGAAAAGTGTCGAGGATAGAGTGTGGATGTATTACTCACGTACCAGTACGGAGTATGGAGTAGAGTGTAGGAAGAGAAGCGGAGAGGGGAGAGGGGAGAGAGAGGGAGAGAGAGAGAGAGCCTGAGGCGGCGACTCAGGGGAGCTTCAGGCCGTAACCGGCAAGTGGTCTGTGCGGCTGCAGCTGACGTTGACGTCGTTGTCGTTGTCGTTGTCGTTCCGGTTGTCGTTTTCCCCCCTCAAAGCTGAGGCAGCAATTCGTTCCAATTCGTTCCCGCATCTCCAGCATCCAGCCATCCATTCTTTCACTTCATTCAGTCACTCTTTTCCATTCCAATATCCAATACACCCTCCCCCCCCCTCCAGGGAACTTAACGAAGATCTCCCGTCTACCAAATATGCTTTTGACTTAGCTTCATTCCATCCTTGTTTCCCGCTCTTCTTTCACTTATCCAGAAATTCAGTTTAACTCGCTACACGAACAACACCGCCATGGTGCGCCTGTGGCCTTTCAAGGTACGTTCCACACCCACTGATCGCAACTCCTCTCACTCACTTGCGTCGGGAACCTTCCCCAACATCAGGCCGAAGACGACTCTCCAGCATCCTTCGAGAAAGCTCTATCAGCCCTATCCGAGAAGATCACCCGAACCACCAACCGCCTCGACCTTCACCGGCAACACGCCCGCCGCTTCAAGGCCCTCTGGACCCTCTACACCACCTTCGCCTACCTCCTCTACTCCATCATCTTGGCTCTGGTGCTAGGATGGCAGAACTGGGGGATAGCTGAATACGCCGCCATAGTCGGCGGGCCCATCCTGTATGACCTCATTCCCCCCCTCCCCCGTCAATCACCAGCTCCTTTCCTCCTCTTGTCTCCAACAAACCTGACACACCGCTTTCTCTCCGCAAACAGAATCTACACCGTCCGCACAGGCGCCACACGGTACTACGACTACCGCATCACCAAGACACAAGCCCACCTCGACTCCCTCCAGAAACAACGCGACGCCACCATCGAGAAACTCAAAGAAGCCACCCGCTACAACTCCACCCAGCAGCTCCTGGAGAAATATGGCGGCGGCACCCTCAAGCGCACCAGGTCCCG